TCAAACATGTGATACAGATGTATGTGACAAATATTTATAGTCATGTTTTACGGAGCCAAAATGTTTTCACGAGTAGTCGTTTCAAAGTTCCATACGTTTGAAAAGTGAATGCTCAGTTATCCGTATCTAAAATGCGTATCATTCGGATTTCTCAAATCTCAACCATCGCTTTCCACAACTTACGTAATATGTGATTTGACGACAAATTGGATTACTTATTATAGTATTTGATGAACGTGTTTATTGCCATTTTTTAATTTAGGAATTATTGGTAACATTCCATACAACTGACCAAAACAAGTTGTATTGTGCACGCATATTCTACTATTGTTAAACAAATCATTAAGGGCAAATAAACATAAGAAGATATATATATAGGTGAAACAAATTTTTGGTGACCATTTTCGTCGTTTCATGTGCTATGTTTCTTGCCAGGTTATATATTCTCTCAGTGATCATCTTCATCGCATTTTTTGTCGTTTACCCATCGTCCATCTGTTCTTCTCATTATTTTTCGACCAGATTAGTCTTACTTTGCGATATATTCTCTTTGTGAAACAAAATCACTTGACGAGCACAGTTTCGTTGATGCATAGCATGTTTGACAGCTAAAAAATAATCCGTAAGTAAGAAAAAAATTTATTGTGACAGCACATTTTTCATTCCAGAAAAACCTGGAGGAAAATTTGTCAAAAAAACTGCTTTTTAGCGAAATCGTTCAATCAACTGGATGCAATTTTAAGTATTTCTTCTTCAAAATTCGTAACATCATGAATAAGCCAAATGAGCAAAAAAATTCAACGATTTTGTGATATTCGCTCTTTCCCACAGTTCTTTTGATATCAATTCTTCCAATAAATGTGATGCCATAAATTTTCATCATTTTTTCATCAGCAATTTATTTTATTGTAGTTATTGCGATCCACTAAGACTTTAGCACGCAACCTTGAGCTGTTATTGACTTTAATAATAACAATCATATAATAATAATAACAAAAAGAATAATCGAAATGATCCACTAAAAGTGTCACTGATCTTTTCGCATAAGAAGGTCATCGAATCCAAAATGTATCTCATTAAAAACATTCATCCATCCCTCATTAAGAGGGCAATCTCTCATCAGATACGTACATATTTTTTGCGCGACCTGAGTGATATTATTGATACAAATAGAAATACAAATACATTGATACATTATTGATACAATACAAACGAACAGATAGATGGCAATACTTTTTTGTGCAAGCATCCCGAAAATTATGTTTCTTCAATGAGTTCGTGAAAATTCTCTCACAGTGGCTACTAATTTTGACGTGTTGAAGTTGAGATCAGATCAGATGCCTTTTCGAGAAGATTTAGTGAAACGAACGCATTCATAAATTCTTTCGGTGAATACTTGTTAATTGTGATTTTGCACTGTTCATTCTGCGTTGAGTAAATGTCCGATGTGTATGAAAACTAAAACAATGCAATGTATTCGTTAGTTTGTTCACTTTCGAAGTAAATTTTCTTAATCGAATTTCTAATTGCAACCGAAAATGAAAAGCGGAGATGAATTTTGTGAAATCAGATAAATGCCGAATTGTAAAAAAAGTGATCGAACGCCTAAATGTTGCAATCTGTTAGTTATTCGTGCAGATCTGTCGTATTCCTGTTTTTACGACTTCCATTTACAGACTGAAGTACACATTGCCAAGCAGCCGTAATGATTCGATAAAAATGAATAAATGCGTATAACTATGCATGTATTTATTCATTCGTTATTTATTTATACTTCCAATTCAACGCATTTCTTGTTTGTTTGTTTGTATGCGCTTTCTAAATTCCTTCTGAAAACGACAAATTTTTGTTCCGAATATCAAAACATTGACTTTATTGGCTACAAATGAGTGAATAAGCATGGAATTATAATTATTTCAGTAGCATTTCACCATACAAAACAAATACATCTTCATTATCAAACGAAATAAATCAACCGAACGAAAATGCATCTGCAACATTGATGAGTAATAGTAATACCCATACACCGACACCAGTCCGCCAACTCGTTTCACGTTTCGATAAATTACACATTACGTCGAGTTCCGAGAAAGAAGATCAATCAGATATGTCGAATGCGCAAGGCACCGATGATGCGGCATCCGGAAATGGTTCGTTCATTTGTTTTCAATTCTCTAAATGATCATGGTCGAGTTTGCAACTTGTGGTACTCATCGCATGATGATCGACGTTATTTGCTGACTCGCGATCATGACTTTTTTTCGAATGAATTGACGCATTACGGAAATATATATCTTTTTGGGTTTCAGAACCGTTTTCCGAACATAATGAATATCTCTGAAAGAATATCG